GTGGGAAGGGCAGAGGGGGGGGGGAGTGAAAATAATGAGTTCGCGACCAGGGCCTGCCTCGGCGCGTTACAAAACGAGTCCTACCTGCCGGCAATGATTGCCGCCTTGCACGGGCTAATAGCACCCGCGAACGTAACGAAGGGTTATGCGGATCACGGGTTTGTTATTGGCTCGCTTAATGACCTATCCGCTCGTTCTACCTGTCCGAAGTGTAGTCCTATGACCGCCGCGTCGAGCCGCCGACAACATAACTGATCACCGTGTATGGAGTGTCAGCATAATTCTCTCCCCTTCCCCCCGAATTTACACACGCGGAAGTGCAGAAATATACGAAGCTAAAAAAAGATCATCTATAATGACGCCGTTCTCCTTTTACTGTCAGTATTATCGAAAAAATTAAAAACTACTTTGCACATTTTATATAATATATTTTTATACACGATTAAACAAACGTTAATTAATTTCCAATGTAATAAACATTAATTAGTTTCCAATACAATAAACATTTATTTGATCAATGGCAAATAAATGTTTCGATAAACATGTTTTTGATAAGATTTTTCGTATAATAAATTGTATAAATTTCTGGTATGAAATATATATGTATATATAAATTATTTGTGTCACATACACAAATATATTTTTATACTTCTATATTTCTTATTTATATTTCATATATAAGTTGGACTACGCACTGCAAAATGTATAAAAATTTCATGAAAAAGCAAGTAGAAAATATGAAGTAACGCGAATGGAAAAATTTTTATGATATGCAATCTTTTCATCATTCACTCATTATACGCTTCTCAAGAGATATATCTCTGAAAAGCAAGATAATAAAAAAGAAAGAGCCTTAATGATAATTAGATCGCCCGATATTTACAGTTACTTAAACATTCATTCGAAGTTAACGTTTCGCGAAAAGCATATCTGGGTTACGTGCTCCGTCCTGATTCCAAGCCAGCTTTGGAATCAAAACCACACGGAATGATTTGAGTGGCTCGGTTGCAACTCTGATGAGACACTCGACCGGGAGCTACAATCGTGTGATTTATTTCTGCAATATTCGAAACGTCAGCAACAGCGACCCAACTACTTGTCCATCGTAATGGAGCATAAGATTCGTGCAATATTTATGCATCGAAAACCCTAACAGACTCTAGATTGTTAATCGAGATTTTCTTTCTTTTATGAAAAAAAAAAACTTGAAACCTAACATGCCCATCATTGCTGTCGTAAGGCATATTGAATGTACGTTACGTTCACTAACAAAACGATCTCTTATTCAACAGGAGAGAGCTAACTAAAGTCCGAGTCTTAAGATATATTCTAATATAATCGCGTTCTCCGCTTATAACTAGTATCCAATATAACTAGTATCCAATAAATCCGACTTCGTACATTTGTTTATTTAAAATTTTGAGTGCAATCACAAAATGCATCAAATATCGAATATTATTCGCGATGCAAAAATCTAGAAGCCGTTTGATACCGAATCTCTCGTTTCAAGATGCCGTAAAAGCTTGTTGCCAACTTACCGCAGCCGTATTCCAGATGTAAACGACGAGTTGCACGATATCGTAAAGACATTTCCCTCCGCCGTGAAAATCCCGGCACTGTCCTTGATACTCCAAGAGATCTCCCGCGCTATATATCGTGCCGGGCACAATCCGGGCTCCCTAACCAGAAATCGCAGAAATAGTCCGGGCGAGTTAGAAACTCGCCGCGTTTCGACTTTCGCGTAGCGGCGAGGATATAGTGTGTGCGCGCATTCCCGCCCAATAAATTAATCACGAAACTTTCCCAATGTTGAAGTCCGCCACAAACTAATTTGCTGGCCGGCTCGGAAAGTACGCGCGCGTAACCCCCTCAGCGCAGCCCAAGTATAATGGGTACGGATCGGCGCACGTGCGTCCGGCGCATAATCATTGCATTTATATTCACTCACCATCGATATTAGACGAGGATTGATCCACGCCTGCTGCATGTTATCGTCGAGATACCGCTTCGCTATCCGGGCGATGTTTTCGTGCGGCTCTTTCTTCGACACGGCCGGTACGGTGGGCGGGACGACGACGTTGGCATTGTTCCTGAAACAGAAACGAATGAACGTTAGCATCGATCGAGTCTGATTTGTAAACACGTCGTCGAAAGTGAACGCTGTGGTTATTATTGTGCTGCGCGATAATCAAAATATTTACGGTGACGGAAGATCTTTTCTAACCGAACACTTGAGTAAGGAAAATCTGAAGTTGAAATGAAAAAGAATACACAATCTTGATTAAATATATAATACATCTTTAAAAAATTGTGTTGTGGGTCAAACCAATAAACGTTCAAAATTTAAAAAGCAAACATAAAAATTTTTAAATATTGCACGTTCAGTCCCAATTTTATATTTTTGTATTAATTTTATTATAATTTAATATAAAAATATATTGTGTTATTTAATTTGTAAATGTACCAACATACATAATGCCGCTTTAGAAAATACCACAATCACATAGACGTTTATGTCGTGTAGTTTGCCAGAACATTTCGATGAACGATGTCAGGCCACTTGTACGCGCATGAAATTCTCGGCATGCGTAGAATAACTCCAAAGTCAAATCACGTGTGTCTCTTCTCGAGAACATTCGAGGACATTCGTGTACAACTAAAACGAGCGTCACGATTTAAGTACGTCAGAACGTGCTTGAATTTTTCGCATTGTTCTAACACGTACACGCATTTTTCCACTATCGATCCAACACATTTACGATGCATAGTAATTTCCATTAATTCAAAGTATAATGTATATAAATGTATAAAAAATGTATATAAATAGTTTAAAACAATATTTTGTTTCAATATTTATAATATTATATACAATTTTATCGAATATAACACACACAATCAATTTCAATCAGAAAAATTCTGAAAATATAATTATGAAATATAGTTATAAAATTTCTGAAAATATAGCTGTGGTATTATATTCGTGCATTAAATCGAGTTTGCAATAAAAAACGCAAAAAATCTGTTAAAATGTGAGAAATATTTGCATGATTGCAAACTACGCATGTCAAGAATATGCGCAAAATTAAGCGTATACAAAATAAAATCCTTCAAATATTTGAAAATCGGAACGTTTAGACAACGTTAAACAACCGTCTCGTTTTATTTCTCCCTGGTGAAAAAATCGTTCTCCCTTTCTCGAGAGCGAGATGAATGCAAATTGCGCTTGGAACAACACTGAAATCTAAGTAAATGGCAGTATTCTCGGACTATATGGCGTTAACTGCTATTATTTACTTGGATGAGTTATTAACGCGAACGACGTTTGACGGAGAATAGCAATCTAAACGGACGAGGCGGGTGTGTAGGAGGGGTTCTTGTGGGGCAAGAGGCCACGAAATTAATGGTGCCGTACGGCGATGTATCAAACCGAATCTATTGTGCAAGCGCCATACCATTGCCACCGTCACCGGTCATCATCGGCCGCCAGATTGCACGTTGCACGACGCAGAAATAGTTTTGGAATGAGGAGGAGATACGCGATACGTATCTCTCGTCGCAATCATTATAATGCAGCCGTAACTGTCTTCATAATTGGATTAACGCAACGATATCCGGCTTGATCGGAAAAAAATCACGTATTTAAAAACTATTAATTTTCTCGGGGCTACTATTTAAATGAAATCGCCGTTAACAAAAGAAGCAGATGAAAAGTTAGTTATCAATACCTATGTACACACAGATTGCATCCATAGATTATATATATTTAATTGTTTACAAGAAACAAAAAATTACGTTTTTACGTTTTCTAGTAAGAAAATTTTACAAAATTTTCCATTCTTCCTATTGCCTTGTGAAAATTAGAAAAGTGAAATCACAAGAGAATTTCCTTTCATTAAATTCTTAAGATTGCAAAGCGCTATTATTCACCGCGCATGCATTCTAATGACGCGAGACGCACTTCGGCGTGGTCAGACAGTGACTGAATTCCCCATCGTACCTTCACAATTATCCCATTAATTCCAAGATGGGTTACACCACGCGCAGACGTATTTTTTAATTTTCTTGCGACGTCTTTGAAGCTTACGCACAACCCATACACGGCATTGTTTTGCATAGAATTAATTATCCGCCTATCCCGCGGCAGGTTGTACCGAAATTTACGTCTGCCGTTCGTTTCTGCCAGGGCTGCTCCGAGAAGGGGTCCAGTAGAATATTCGCACTTGAGATTATGTACGCTGAAGTTCCGATCCTCTCTCTTTTCTCTCATAAAATAAATTAAATCGTAATAAATCAATTCACCTTTTTTATTATTTCATTATCTCAATTAAAATATTAATCATCCATCATTCATATTCAAAATATCAATTAAAAGAAAAATCATATATATTTATCTTTTTTAATTATTGTTATAATAAATTTTGTTATTATATTTATATAATATATAAATTATTCCTATTTTTCCTCGGGACTTACATGGATCTACATTTTTCGTCAGAGCGTCCCTGCTCTCAGTACATCTCGCCAAGCACAACTTCGTACAATGCATACCTATGAATAATCGCATACTTGCGCGTGTGTATCGTATATGTAGAAACGTTACGAAACACGCATTCGTATTCAATGGAGACCTCCTTGGCGTTTAAGCGCGCGCGATTGCGAAGCAAGCGGGAACTGAGACGCTGAGACGCTGATACGCTGTGGATATCCCATAAGTGAATTATGAGAGTTTATCGCGACACCGTCGCCCCGTGCCTGCTGTCGTGGCGCAGCTGTCGGTTTAGGCCTCCCTAGCGGGTTAAATTATTGCCGGGATCCCTCGAAACCGTCTAAATTATTGGACCCGGCTTCGAATCAGCACCTCGAGCACCTTAAATACGCGAGCGTCTCCTCAAGTCGACGGCAAGTTTTATCCGAATATATAAACAATATATATATGTATATTTGAACCAAACAATAGATACAATTACCAAAGTACATTCTCTTTATATGGACAAAATTGATATACAAATACCATTATTTTCATTTTTTTCGATTTAAATATCCATTCTTTTCCAGTAATGGCTAACAAAACTAAATTTGCAAATGGAAAGTGGACTAAATAAAGTTTCAATTTATTTACAAGCGTGTGCAAAAAAAGCAGAGTTGACTATTATTTTAAACAACAAAAACAATTGAAATTTCTACATTATTTTTGATAGTTTTTAATAATTTAAAGCATTAATTTTATCAGAAAATAAATATGAAAAACTTTAATTATGCAGATAATCTCTGCACAGAATAATTTATAATTAAAATCATCAAATGTATCATATCTCACACATTTTTAATCAATTATATCGTTAAACTTTTTTCCATTCATACACGATGAAACATATCACATTATAATCAATAATTTTTCAAATTGCTCAAACTAATTCGTTATCCGTGAGAAACTGAATTTTAACGGGACGATATCTTATATAACAATCATCGATCGATCATTTGTCTCGTTTGATTCTCCCACATCACGATTTAAATATCCATTCTTTTCCAGTAATGGCTAACAAAACTAAATTTGCAAATGGAAAGTGGACTAAATAAAGTTTCAATTTATTTACAAGCGTGTGCAAAAAAAGCAGAGTTGACTATTATTTTAAACAACAAAAACAATTGAAATTTCTACATTATTTTTGATAGTTTTTAATAATTTAAAGCATTAATTTTATCAGAAAATAAATATGAAAAACTTTAATTATGCAGATAATCTCTGCACAGAATAATTTATTATTCAAATCATCAAATGTATCATATCTCACACAATTTTAATCAATTATATCGTTAAACTTTTTTCCATTCATACACGATGAAACATATCACATTATAATCAATAATTTTTCAAATTGCTCAAACTAATTCGTTATCCGTGAGAAACTGAATTTTAACGGGACGATATCTTATATAACAATCATCGATCGATCATTTGTCTCGTTTGATTCTCCCACATCAATTCAACGCCAATACATCCAAGACGTTCAGCGAAGGCGAAACATGGTACTTTCCTATTCTCCTCGTATAAGGCGCAGCAAAATAAGTGTGGGAGTTAATAACGCAAAGGATGAAAAAAAAGTAGCCATCTGCGAGGCGAGCGCAAAGCGCGAATAAGGAAGGAGAAACGGGATAAAGAAGGCGATGGGGACGACGCAAGATCGGAGGAGATTCACGGACTATGGAAGATAATCTTCAGGACTACACCTATATACTCCTTTTGCTCGTCTCCGTGAGTTTTACAGAATCCCCTTCGGTGGGACCCGAGGAGAAGCGACCGAGGAGAAGCAACACGGACGATATCCGACGCCGAGCCGAGATGAGGCGAACCGCGCCACTACGCTCGCTCTAAATCTCCGTAAATGCGTCGCGGTCGTCCGGCTGTTTCCTCCTGTTTTCCACAGGTGTATCATGTTATACAAACCTCTCGAGACGGTTCTCACGAAAATCCGCGCCGGCCGCTCGTTGAATGAAAATTCACGGTAGACGTGAGAAACTTACTCGCCGCCGTAAGCAATGGGGCGGACGAAACGAAAATGTACGGCGCGTTGCGCTTTACCGAAAACAACCCTTTTCACATCGCCGATTTGGAGAAACTCACAAATATTTTCAACGAGAGAGATTTAAGATGTAAACAGAAATATTCCATAACAATTTGGGAAATTTTTTATCTCTCGAAGCGATTTTCTTATCTTAATTTGATAAAATTGTCTGTAAATGAAATATAAATTAAAGTCATCATTACAATGCTTATAATACATGCGAAATGAACAATGAGCGCACAGCTGAAATTTTATTCCGACTTATAACTCACCAGAACACGGAAAAAGCAAAAAACGACAAGAACGAATCCTTGTCGCGAACTTTCCGAATGCTCGGACAATAAATTCGATAATTTAACAAATATCTCGCTCACTATCTGTCTTCGCACTATCATTAAGTAAACAGATTGCTACGCGGCAAATAGATATCGTCTTGTGTATTATAGATCTTAGACAGTTTCATCCCATAAAAAAATCTTCAAATGTTTTCATTAAAACAATACAATTGATGATTGCTGCGAATC